AGGCCCCCTCCTGCTGCTGCTGCTGCTGCTGTTGCTGCTGCTGCTGCTGCTGCTGCTGCTGCTGCTGCTGCTGCGCAGCAACAAAAGTGCTGCAGCACCGCAACACCGTATAGTATACACCCCAGCACCATAATGCATGCAGCAGCAAAACAGCAGCATAGCTCCAGCAGCACTGCTGCAGCAGCCTCGTACTCCTGTACCTTCCTAAGCCTGATGTTCTAGGGTTTAGGGTTTAGGGTTTAGGGTTTAGGGCTCAACAGCAACAGAAACCTCTCCCTCCCCCATCCAGTGATGCTATCATCGACAGCTGCTGCTGCTGCTGCTGCTGCTGCTGCTTCTGCTTCTGCTGATGTGGGGTGCAGCAAAGGTGCCGACGGCTTCCGAGGTGTCTCTGATGCAGCGTTGTCTCTACGAGATGATGATATCTGCTGCTTCTGAGGGGTCTGCTGCAGCAGGAGCAGGAGCAGGAGCAGCAGCAGCTGCGGAGGGCTTCACACAAGAGAGGTTTATAAGGGTGCCTGCTGCGCTGCCAGCGCTGCTGCAGGTGCTTCCTGCAGACGGCCACCCTATGGCTGCTTTTGCTGCTGCTGCAGCAGCACTTTCTGATTATTCTTTTTTTCGTGTTGCGACGGAGGAAGGTGTAATTAGTAAAAAAGATATTTGGCGCCCCGCACTCGTCGATGCTCTTGCTCTCGTGAGCGCCTGCTGCTGCTGCTGCTGCTGCTGCTGCTGCTGTCGCTGCAGCTGCTGTTGCTGCTGTTGCTGTTGCTGTTGTTGATGATTCTGCTGTCGCTGCTGTTGCTGTTGCTGCTGCTGTCGCTGCTGTTGCACTTATTGCTGCTGCTGCTGTAGCTGTTGCTGCTGCTGGTGTTGCTGGTGGGGATGTTGGTGGTGCTGCGGCTGCTGTAGTTGCTGCTACTGTAGGTGGTGCTGTTTGTGCTGCTGCTGATGTTGTTGCTCTGGTTTCTGCTGTTGCTGCTGCTGCAACAGTTGTTCCTGCTGCTGCTGCTGTTGTTATTATTGATGCTGGTGTATTGCGCACTGCTGGTTGCTGGTGCTGCGGGGGGACAGCGGCGGAAGCAGCAGCATCACCAGCAGCAGCAGCAGCAGCAGCAGCAGCATGATCGTCAGCAGCAGCAGAAGCAGCACCAGCGGCAGCATTACCGTCAGCATCAGCATCATCCCCACCAACAGCAGCATTACCAGCAGCAGCAACAGCTGCTGCTGTTGCTGGTGCTGCTGCTACATATACACCAGGGAGTTGTTGCTTTGTGTTGCTGCTGCTTGTTTGTGTCTGTAGGTTGCGCGTGCTGCTGTTGCTGCTGCACATATATACCGCAACAAATTTGGAGAGGGGGAGATGCCCGCTCCCGACCCTGACCTGGACTTCGTGCGTCTTCCTGCTGCTGCTGCTGCTGCTGCTGCTGCTGCTGCTGCAGATGGTGGTGGTGCTGCTGCTGTTGCTGCTGCTGCTGTTGCTGTTGCTGCTGGCTGTCGGCTTGTGTGTTTCTGTTTTCTAGTGTTTTGTCTTATTTCTGTCTGTTGCTGCTGTCTCCTGTTGCTGCTGCTGTTGCTGCTGTCTCCTTTTGCTGCTGTCTCCCGTTCCTGCTGTCTCCTTCTTTGTTTGTTTGTTTGTTTGTTTGCTTTGCGTTAATGTGTCTGTCTCTGTTTAAAGCAGCAGCAGCGCAGCAGGGCCTCATCCTCTGTCTCTCTCTGTCTCTCCTTCTCTGTCTCTTCGTCGTTTATATTTTAATTATTTATCTGTTTTGTTTTTGCGTTTGTTTTGTTTTTCTGTTTATTTTTGCTGCTCTGTCTCCTTTTGTGTCTCTCTTTGTTTGCATTGTCCTTCTCCTTTTATTTTATTCTTGAGTATTATAATAATAACAGTAATATATATTATTATTGTAGTTATATATAATAATATATATTAATAATAATAACATAAATAATAATATATATTATTGCTGTTATTTTATTATATTATAATTATATATTGTGTCTCCTTTTGCTGCTCTCTTTCTGTCTCTCCAGGCTACAAACTTTTCTCGTCTATTGGGTTTTAAAGGACAGCAGCAAGAAGAGCTGCTGCGTCTCTATTTGCTGCTGCATGCAGATCATGAGGGTGTGTCTCTCTGCTGCAGCAGCTGCTGCTCCACCTGCTGCCTTTCTGTCTCTTCTGCACTTTAGAGACACCCCACACAACAGCAGCACCAGCAACAGCAGCAGCAGCAGCAGCACCAGCACCAGCAGCACCAGCAGCAGGAGCTGCTTCAGCAGCAGCAGCAGCAACATCAGCAACACCACAAGCAGCACAATCAGCAGTAGCAGCATCACAAACACCAGCACCGGCAGCAGCATCAGCAGCACCAGCAGGAGCAGGAGCAACAGCAGCAGCAGCAGCAGCAGCAGCAGCAGCAGCAGCAGCAGCAGCAGTTTGTTGTGGTTGTCTTGTGTATGTTTTAGGTGGTAATGTCTCTGCTCATGCTGCGCATCTCGTCGGCTCTTCTCTTGCAGATCCCTTTGCTGCTTTTGCTGCTGGCATGGCTGGCCTCGGCGGTAAACCCTAAACCCTAAACCCTTAATAAACCCTAAACCCTAAACCCTAAGCCCTCGTAACTGCAGGAAGGGTCTCCTGGGTTGGCCCTGGAGACCGTCTTTACGCGGCTGAAGAGCTGCGGCTGCTGCTGCACCTCCGCTTGCTGCTGCTATTGCTGTTGCTGCTGCTGCTGCTGCTGCTGCTGCTGCTGCTGCTTCAGGGCCTTTGCATGGGCTAGCGAATCAGAAGTGTTTGGCGTGGCTGCGCTCGGCGCAGCAGCAGCTGCGGGGGTCTCCGCCTACAAAAGACAACATTCGAGACATTGCTCTCGTACGCTCTTATCAAACCCTTCCTGCTGCTGCTGCTGCTGCTGCTGCTTCTCGTCCTGCCGTTGCTGCTGCTTCGTGTCCTGTCGCTGCTGCTGCTTGGCCTGCTGCTGCTTTTGTCTCTGCTGCTGCTGCTGCTCCTGCTGCTTCTTGGCCTGCTGCTGCGCCTTGTCCTTCTGCTGCTTCGGCTTGTCCTGCTGCTGCTCTAGCTGTTGCTGCTTCTTTTGCTGCTACCGTTTGTTGTGCTACTGTTGCTGCTCTCTCTCGTGTCCTTGCTACTGCTGCTTCTTGTCTTGCTGCTGCTGCTGCTTATTGTCTCGCTGCTGCAGCTGCTTCTTGTGCTGCTGCTGCTGCTAGTGATGTTAGTTTGTCTGTAGTGCCGTGTGTCTCCTCGGGGTGTACGTACGTCTGAATGGCTTAGAGATGCACCCCCTTCTGCTGCTGCTTTTGTCTCTGTTGCTGCTGCTGCTGCTGCTGCTGCTGCAGGCAACGCTGAAGGCAGGCGGTGTTATCCCCGGCTTTGGCCATGCAGTACTCAGAGTCACCGACCCCAGGTTTGCTGCTGCTGTTGCTGCTGCTGCTGCTGATGATGATGATGATGCTGGCGCTTTTGCTGCTGATGCTGCTGCTTGTGCGTGTACTGCAGCAGCTGCTGCTGTTTTTGTATGCTGCTGATGCATCGAAGAGTGCTGCAACTGCTGTTGGAACTGCTGCTGCTGCTGCTGCTGCTGCTGCTGCACCGTCTCCTCGTGTTGCTTGCGCTGATGGCAGCAGCTGCTAATGCTGCTGCTATTGCTGCTGCTGCTGTTGCTGCTGCTGCAGGTTTACGATGCAGCGCGAGTTTGCTCTAAGGCATATACCAGAGGACCCTCTGTTTCAGTGCGTGTCTTACAGAGCTGTCTCTGCTAGCTCAGCGATGTTAATCTGCTGCTGTTGTTGCTGCTGCTGCTTCTGCTTCTGCTGCTGTTGCTGCTGCTGCTGCACGCTGGCTAGGCCCCTCTTCCTTCTACCGAGCTACCTGTCTAGCTACCTAGCTAGCTAGCTACCCATCTAGCTACCTGGCTAGCTAGCTAGCTAGCTAGCTAGCTAGCTAGCTGTTGATTGCATGCAGAGATGCCCAGAGGTTTGCTGCTGCGCCTCAGGCTGCTCGAAGTCGTCCGCGAAGTTGTCCCTCAGATCCTTGCCGGTTTGTAGCGCTTGCTGCTGCTGTTGCTGCTGCTGTTGTTGTTGCTGCTGCTGCTGTTGTTGCTGCTGTTGTTGCTGCTGCTGTTGTTGCTGCTGTTGCTGCTGCTGCTGTTGTTGCTGCTGTTGCTGTTGTTGCTGCTGCTGGTGCTCCTTTTGTCTGCTCTCTGTCTCTTTATTTCTTTTTTGCTGCTGTTGCTGCTGCTTCTGTTGCTGCAGCTGTTTTTGCTGTTAGTATTATCGTGAAGTGTCTCTGTTTTCTCTGTGTGTCTCCTCTGCATGCATGGATCTGCTGCTGTCTCTTAATATGTATTTGCTTGCTGCTGCTGCTGCTGCTGCTGTTTCTTTTGTGTCTCTCTTCTTAGGAAAGGTCTCTAGCCCTTATCCTAACGTCGACTGCCACTCAGGCGTGCTGCTGCAGGCATTGGGGCTGCAGCAAGAAAAATTTTATACAGTGCTCTTTGGGGTCTCCAGGTCTCTAGGGATTGCTTCGCAGTTTGGTTCGTGCTGCTGCGGCTGCTGCTGCTGCTGCTGCTGCTGCTGCTGTTTTGCTGCTGCTGTTTTGCTGCTGCTGGTTTGTTGCTGCTTGCTTTGTTGCTGCTGGTTTGTTGCTGCTTGCTGTGCTGCAGTTGCTTTGCTGTTGCTGTTTTGCTGCTGGTTTTGGTGCTGCTGCGCTTTGTTGCTGCTGTTTTGCTGCTGCTGCTTTGCTGGTGCTGGCTGTACTGCATTGCTGCTTTATTGCTGCTGCTGTTTTGCTGCTGGTGGTGTATTTGCTGCCTTGGCGTTTTCTTGTTCGTCGCTGCGGGTGTGTGTTGCTCCCTGCTGCTGCGCTGCAGCAGCAGCAGCCTTCTGCTGCGCTGCAGCAGCAGCAGAAGCAGCATCAGCAGCAGCAACAGTGTGGGTGTCTCCTGCGGTGTATGTACGCTGCAGTGTGGGCCCGGGCCCTGGGCCTCCCCATTGAGCGCCCCAAGTCGGTGACCCTCAGCTGCCTTGAGGAGCTGTCGAGCAAGAGCAGCAATTAAGTGTCTCTTTACAGCAGCAAGAGCAGCAAATGGCTGTCTTCTTTCAGCAGCATGTAGCTGCCACCTTGCAGCAGCAAGAGCAGCAATTATCTGTCTCCTTGCAGCAGCAAGAGCAGCAATTAGCTGTCTCCTTGCAGCAGCAAGAGCAGCAATTAAGCATCTTTTTACAGCAGCAAGAGAAGCAATTAGTTGTCTCTTCTGCAGCACTAAGGAGGCCCCTATTGTCTCCGTTTGCTACACTTTTGGGGGCCCCTGGTCTCGTCTGCTACACTGTAGGGGCCCCTGCTACCTTCTGCTGGCTAAGGGCCTTCAAGGGCCCTCAGAGGCCCTCATCTCCTTGGGGGCCTCTGCTGCATTAATGGGCCCATAGGGGGGTTGGCCCCTCCATATTATAAAAAAAGGTAGGGGCCCCTGGGGGCCCCCGACGTCCCCAGGGACCCTTTGGAGTTGGGGGGCCCTGGGGGCCCCTTGGGGGCCCCCTTAGGGCTCCTAGGGGGCCACTTAGGGCTGGGGGCCCTAAGGGGCCCCTGAGGCACTGGGGCCCCGTTGCGAGTGTGGGGTTGGAGGGGGGAAGCCGAGGGGCGCTGGTGCGGGTACTGAAGGAGCTCTAAATGGCCAGAGAATACCGTTTAGCTAGCTAGCTAGCTAGCTAGCTCACCAGCCAGCTAGCCTAGGCAGCAAGGCATACAGATAGCCAGCTGCCTCGCTAGGCAGCTAGCCAGCTAGCTAGCTAGCTAGCTAGCTAGCTAGCTAGCTAGCTAGCTAGCTAGCCATGCAGCTAGCTGGTGGGGTAGTTCAGAGTTATTTTTGTTGTTCATGTTTCGTTCTTCTCCCGTGTCTCCGAACCTGCAAACTGCGGGCTGTCTACTCGCCTCCCCATCTAGCTAGCTAGCTAGCTAGCTAGGGGGTTAGGCAGCTAGCCAGCTAGCTGCTTAAACAGGTAGCAGCTAGCTGGTTGGCTGCGCCTGCCTGTCTCTATCTCTATTCGTTACAGATCTGCTTAGCAGCTAAAGCTACAGCTGCCCTGAGGTGGAGAGATAGAGAGAGACAGAGAGACAGAGACGGAGACAGAGAGACAGTTACTGCAGGCCTTCAGGCCTCAGTAAACAGAGAGAGGTGTTGATGCCCTCTCCCGCTGTATTTGTACAGCAGAGCAGCGCTAAGTATTTAGAGACAAACAAACAAAAAAGAGAAAGGGGGAGACCCCACGCGAATGTAGAAGGAGGGGGCTTCTAAGCAGGTGTTTAATACATATGCAGGCATATATACATATATATATATGTATATATATATGTATATATATATATATATGTGTATATATATTGTATGCATGTATATGTATTGAATGTATATATGCATATTCAGTGGTCTATATACGTACATATATATATATATATATATACGTATATATATATATATATATATATATA